AAATTGGCCACCGCAAAAAATGAGCTTCAAGTGAAACTGCTTGGATGCAAAATTTTACTGTGACCAGAAAGAATCTGGTTGCACTAACACAAAGCTAGTCATTCAATGCTCACCTAGTAGGAAAAATGTATACTATGAAGGTTCTGCTCTGCTCGATGCAATTCTGGTTTTGGGGGGACCCCATCATATATCATTTCCAAGATTATGAATGTGGGCGCAGACAGCCTCATCATCTAACTGCAGAGGAGCTGGTGGCTTTGAAACACAGATCTGGAGATGAGCAGCCCACCCCGCCTCACAACACTACCAAGCATATATAGGAAACCCGTGGAAGGTGTCAAATGCTGTTGAACCGGCTCGGACTCACAGTGACTCCATGGTTATCAGCACAGAACACTGCTGGTCCTGTGCCAGCCTCAAGATTATCACTGTGGGGAGCACACTGTTTGAGACAGTATAGCAGTCCATCGAGTTGAAGGACTGACTTCCTCTGGTTTGATGGACTCTCTACTTTCCCAAGCATGGTGTCTTTTCTGGGCACTGGTCTCTCCTAGGAAGCTGTCCAAAGGACAGGAGAAGATATTTTGCCACCCCCTCCTCAGGAGCATTTTAGTCATATTTCCTCCATAAGAGGTCTGCTTGTTCTTCTTGGAGTCCATTGCACTTGGAAACTGCTTCAGCAACACAATGCAAATGCATCAGCTCCTCTCTCACGCCCCTCGCCTCCTGACATTCATTATGCATATGAGGTGAATGAAAATACTGTGACTTGGCTTATGTGCACCTTAGTTCTCAAAGTGGTATCGTCGTTTTTTAATATGGTAAGTATGTCATATGCAATAAGTTTACCCAGTGTAAAACATCTTTCAATTCTTTGAATGGCTGCTTCCAGGAATACTGATTGTGGAACAAGTCAAATGAAGTCCTTGAAAACGTCAATATTTTCTCCATGCATTATGGTAGATCTATTAAGTAAGGTTGTATGGATTTTCCTTCTCTGGATTACAATATCCATTGCAATGGCTATGATGAACTCAGACAAAATTCATAATGAAGAGATTTATTAAGGAAGTTAACAAGTTGTAATGCCAGTAAGAAATGCTCGGGATTGTTTATTAAGGCATGTTACAAAGTTCTTTTAACTTTGCCAGCACAGGCCCCAAAAGCATGCCTCTCTGCATATATGCCTCAACAGGAAGTTATTCAGATTCATCTCCAAGGGTTCACCAGCTCATTGAATTAAGTGCCCAGAGGCAGCCCCTCCTGTAAGGCTCAGCTCAAAGACACTCAGAACCCCATCTGAAGGTCAGCATGTCCAACTTCCCTAGTTAAGTGCCTACAGTCCTTCTATAGATTTTTTACTTCATTTGCAAAAGAAGGCAAAAGAGACTATAAGTCCCATTTACTTGTCCAATAAGCATTGATCTCTCAAATAATTGTCTAGCTGTATGCAAAGTGTTGAAGGATCTCTCTCAGAAAATGTGGAATTATAGTGGTCTTTCCTTTGCCCCTTTGTTTTCTATAATCTATGCTATTCTCTTTAGTTTTAGATTGTTTTCCATCACGCATATTAATATAACGACATTTTTAGGTTTTTGGAAAAAATCCATTAATGTTTGAATCTATTTTTTCAAGAATTTTTTGAAGCTTCCATATACTAGTGAATGGGCCCTTTACACTAGATATGCTAGACATACTAATTCAGGTAAATTTAGCCTCATCTCAAAATCATATATGTTATCTCTCATTCAAAAGCCAAGTGTTCTAACGTCTTGCTAATTAATTGTACATATATGTATATCACACACATATGACTCATTGATATAGAGACACTTTTAATGAATTAGGTATTCTGTCTGAGGAGATCTTTGATTACATTGAATTGAGGCAAATGAAATAGAAGAAAAACAGCTTATTCAAAATCACTTTGATGAGCTTTAATCCAGTACTCCTGAAACTAAAAGAAGTATTTCTCTGTGCATGCAAGACTGTTTGTTTGCATGTGTATCTATATGGACTTTAATAAGCATAGCATAAAAGTGAGAAATACTAAAAAGGTCGGTTTATACTTTTATAATGTCTGAAATAAAGGACTGACATATTGTGGGTGGTATTTGAACCATTCCTCTTGGACAGGTATTTACATATTACCCTCATGAATTTTTTAATCTTCCCATGTTTTTGATCTTCCCTTAAGCATCAGTTTTACCTCAAGAGTGACATATTACAATGGCACTGAGATAGATAACAATAATTACCAATATCGTAGTATCTTAAATGCCTATGAAATACATATTTTAGGAAGTCTGCTTCCAACTGTATAAAGAAAAGTGTACATTATTATATTCTAATTAAAAGGATTAATGAGCCTGAAATTTTGATAAGTTGAATGGGATACTCAAGGGTTGTTTTCAACTCAATCGCTCCAATCCTCTGTTGTAAAATACAGGGGATATTTCTCTGGGTTTTATCTTAATGTTTATAATATTACAGTATTTAAAGTCTATTCTGTGAACTGTTCAATTATGAAGACATCTAAGATAGTGTCAGCTCTAGTTTCTAAAACAGAAAATCAGTAAGACGAAATAAGAAATGGCACATGTAGCTGATATAAACGTATTTAACTATTATCCCTAAATCGTTTTGTTGGGACATTCTATTAACGACAACACCAGTGTTAAATCTAAAGTAGCATAATTACAGTCATTAATGAGAAATACTTTTAGATTCTTTTTTTCTCTCTTGCAACAGTTTAATTTTCTCTTCCACAAACGTTACCCATCACAGTTGGGTCTCTCTTGTGAGGCTAGCAGTGTTACTCTCATGATAACTCATTGTGGGGGATTTTTGTGAACTTTTTCCCAAATGAGCTACGTTTTCCCACATTATATTGCACTACCACTCATGCTATCACAATAACATATGTTACAGTAGAAATACATGTTTCCAACATAAAATTTAATTCATAAATGGTAAATAGAGAATGTACTCATTGACAGTACATCTTTTTTATGGAAAGTGGATATGGCCGCTTAAACATCAACGTTTTAGGTAATAATAGATTAAAAAATGTTTAATTTAGAAAATTATTTGCAGATGCCTTTACGATTCAACTTTGAATGTATCCAAACCCTGGAAAGTAATCCTGGGAAGAAGAAAATGCAAAAGAGAGAGAAACCACCATGCTTGCTAAAGGCCACAGCCGTTCCACGATGCTATATGAGAATGCTTGTTGTGGTGAGGGGCCAGCAAGTCACCTATGACCCGTAGAGATCCGACGCAGGCCAGCGGGACACGCTGCCTGGTTCCGTGCTGTCCTCACATTCCTTCTATGCCAGTCAATGGTCGCAGCCACCGTGTCAATCCATCTTGTTGAGTATTTTCTATATATCATTTAATGTTTAGCTGTGAAATAAGGCTTCAGTGGAGGGGATCATTTTAACCCTAAATCTGTAATCAGGTTTTTGTTTATTTGCCTAATTATCAGAATAAAAGAGTAATAGGAGAAAACAAACAAATCAACAAAGCTGTAGTTTAGGTAAAAAGAGAAAAAGTATGACTTTATTTCTCTTTTTTCTTTTTGGAATCATGTCCGGATCAAATTAAAAACAATAATTCAAAGGTGAAACACTTGCCAGGAGGGTGACCTAACCTCTGCTGCCATGCGTTTAAAGACCGGCCTGTGCTGCTGGGCCCAGGCGGCCATCGAGGCGCTGGCTACATCACAGAGAGGCAAGATTCGGGCCTTAGCCCCATTTTGTATAGTGTGCTTGGATTTTGGCCCAATTTCTGAACATTCTAGTCCCCAAATTTTTATTTTAGAGGCAAGCTAAATTAGTATACCATATTTACACTTTTAGCTTCAGCCAGCACTCCAATTTAGACTTTGATCAGAACTTTGCAGTTAGATAGTAAACTTTACACAGCGATTAATGAAAACAATACTTTTATTCCTATTCTGCTATTGTGCCATTTGCATATAGCTCACTTGGTTGCTCTGTGGGGGTATTACAATGATTGTCAGAGCAAAAGGAATTTGTATCTAATTTTAATAACATATCACTATTGTTATTTTTTTAATTAATTTCACCTTAAAGTATAACTTACCTTCCATAATATAAATGTTTTCATGAGAAGGGAATGAAGTAAATAAGTTCAAACATCTACAAATACAAATCTGCAAAACAGCATTTTCTTGGAAATTCACATTTAGCTCAGATTTATATGATAATTCTTAAGGAAATGAATAAAAATATAATTGAATTTTACAAGCAATGATAGCACCATAAACAAATGAGTAGAAGTTTAATGGACAGATAAATGTTGATATGTGGTATGAATAAATGAATGAATGAATAAAAAAATAAAAGGAAAATCAATGTCATTAAAATAGGGAATATTATAAACTGAAACAACTTTAAAAATGGATCAATAGGGAGATCAAATGCTAAGGTGTTACATTTTAACCTAACTACATCGATCATATTAGACTTTTCAACTGAATGTTCTGTGTTGTGTTTTTGTCTTTGTTGTTTTTGTTTGTTTGTTTCTTGTTATTGTTTTGTACAATTTTCTGTACATTAAATCCAAGCAATGTAAATTGTTAGAAAGAGTCAATGGACTAAAAATTACCTAGGGACATGACAGAGGCATGTGGATTTTGGTCATGATTGTACAACTCTCCTTAATATGATTGAACTATTAAATTGTATGATATGAGAATTACATGCCAATAGAACTATTTTTAAATGATAGAGAACCTTATATTTTTGTGATTAAATATTTAAATATCAGTTCAATCAGCAAGACAAAGGTCCTTGACATATCTTTGTAATTTCCTGAGAAATGTTTTACATTACAATTGTGAAAGTTTGCAAGAGCCCTATAAGCTAAGGTGAAAGTTTACTGTTCAAATATGAAAACTAGCTTATTATTCCATCTCATTACAGCTAGTGTCCACTTAGAACATGAGGAGCTCATCACCTGGAAGCGATTCTTACCTCGACATGTGGGCAAGAGACCACTCCATTGGCCATTGCTCCGACACTGGGCTCGAGAAGCCCCCTGCAGCAAGTAGCCGGTGTTGCAAGTGAAATTCACCACATCATTCAGGTTGAATTCACTGCCATTTGTGAAACCCCGGGCAGGGTTTCCAGGGTGACCGCACGTGATGGCTGTAAGAAAAGGTGAGTAAATATTACTGTGAGGCAATGAGTCACGTACTTGGGATTACTTACTAGTAAATATGCAGATGGGTGCAATGTATGGATTAAAGTGTTTTCGAGTAATCATATGTTTTTCAGATTCTACTCTTATTTTGAAAGGAAAATTGGGAGATTAAAGCATGGGGATTAATCCAAAGACTGTTATTATAATTGAAGAAAATAATTAATACCTCATAAGTACCCTCTTTATCAGAGAAGAGGACATTATTTCTTACTCATTTCTTGACAGAATAATACATTTTAGAATGAAGCAATGAGAAGGCAAACTATACCAAAATTATTCATTAATCCAGAATTTGAATACTTTCCCCTTGGTATCTACAAGCCAAAATGGCAAAACTCTCATTTAGAAACCACCGTACGTAGGAATTCAGTTGATCATTTGAATTGTGCGTGTGCAAAACCTTCACATGCCAATGTTGCTGTGGTTACTACTTGTCATTTGTTCTCAGTCCTGGTGACAGAGCATCGCTGCTCCATATGGTTCCCCAGGATGCGCTCTTTACAGGCACTGAAGCCAGGACTCATCGTGTGAGTGCCAGCCACCAGCATCGTGTGAGTGCCAGCCACCAGCATCTTGTGAGTGACAGCCACCAGCATCATGTGAGTGCCAGCCACGCACTAGAACATCAGTGCCACTAAGACTCCTTTACACGAACGTTGAACACAGTGAAATTAGCAAAAATAGCGATGGCTCCTCAAACTTTATTTTTGTTGAAATTTCCTCTTGGATGATCCTTTTATACGTAATGAACTGCTATTAATGTCATGATGAAAATGCCCAGAGAGAACAAAGAGAAATATTCATTGGTTTTTATCAAAAGAAATACATTATACTCATAACCCCGACTCTCTTCCCTCATTTATCTTGTCAATACTTTTCCTTCTCCTCAGTAAGACTCTCATCCCTAAGCTTTGCCCATTGCCCACAGAACTATTTATAGCGAATAAGTGGCATGACCCTACAGTTATACCATTTCCTTAACTTGTCACACAAAGACAAATTATATACAGTTAGAAAAAATACTTAATATGAAATTAGCAATAAAGGAAGGGTAAAATATTTTCCAAAAATACTACAATATTTATTTAAAGGGTTTAAATAAAATTCGTACTTACATTTTTTTCTCTTTTAAGAGAAAGACTTTTAAAACACTGTATTCTTAATGAGACAAAAGGCAGCAAATATACAAAACAACACCGAAGATTAATAGAGTGTGGTGATACATATATATATAATCCACTCTGACTCGGCACCATATATATGTATTCTTCAGGTTAACCGATCAACTCTGACTCGGCACCTTTACTTTTTTATCTTTAGGGCACGTTTCCATCTTGTTTATCCTGTGTACAATTGGGGAAGGTGAGTGTGATGGCGTCACTCATTCTTGATCCCTTTGAAAGGAATTAATGAGCAAACTAAATGTGAGAAGATGTTTGGGTGAAGGGTTGCTAGAAAACGAATAGAGAAGCACAAAAGAAAAAGAAAAGAGTGCTGATTCCTGCTCAAATTCTTTTTATTTAGACACATTGAGAGTGCTTTATTGTGTTCTACTCTGAAGAGTAAACGTCCTTCTGTGATGACTGCCTGGCAGATGAACATGAAGAATAGGAGGGTCTGATAAGTGAGTCATGCGCAGTGTACTTACGGACACACACAGGCGTTTGTCCAGACCACTTGTGGTCCTGCAAGCAGATCCGAACGGACGTTCCAACAAGACGGAAACCGGGATTGCACTGATAAACCACGGTGTCTCGGTAACTGAAGCCGTCTCCACTGATATGACCATTCACAATTGGATCAGGAGAACCGCAGTGGCCAGCTGCAAGTATATGGGCAAACAACACAAGTGCTGGAAAATTTTTCTTTCATAAGAGTACTACATTAATAGTTGAATTAAATTTATTGTCAAGTCAAAGACGTTATTGAATAGGTAATCTATTATACATGTTTCCAGTTGTGCATATCTATGCATACGCATATGTGTTTATTTTAAATCGTTGTTTGACTAGTTATACTTTCCGCCCAACGATTGCAGCTAACTTTTATTATCAAATTATCCTTCCGTATCTAAGTAAACAGATTATAAAAATTTCTAGATGGAAAGCATGTCCAGAGAGTGGGGTTATTAACACCTTTCTGAAATGCCAAGTGGAAGGCCCCATTCAGAATACAAATTCAGTTTTAAAGATTTAAGTTTCCATTGCTCATAAAGCAATGTCTTGGTGATCATGGTCTTCAGGCAATTTCAGATATCATTTAGAGTCTGTGGGGAAGACGCACTACGTACAGTGGAGATGCAATAGATTACAGCGGGCAGTTTAAATGCCTGGTGACTGAGCTCCCCAGCACGTAAACTGAAGACGAGTCTGACGGTAGAAATCACAATGAATATTCCTACGTTAGGGGAAGATACACGTAGTGATCTGAGCAAGTCCGGAGTGTGAGAGGGTAATCCAAAGCAGCTTCGAAGAAACTTCTGAAAGCTTCTGAAAGTACAACTACATTGAACATCATTTTGATTTTTTTGAGGTGCTGGATGGTGAAGTCAGGTTTTGTAAGGTTTGAAGAAAACATGGAAGCCAGTGTGTTTGTTTCTTATAGTCTTTTCTGTGAGTTCTTACATGATATTTCCTTTCTTTCAGTTCCTTCCCCATATTCTTTCCCACTTCCATTTGTTCCTGCCATTCTCCATCTATTCTTAAATAATTTTTACATTTAAAAATCTGTAGTTTTATTTCAAGATAACACTAAGATGCCGTCTGTCCTCATGGTTTTACCTTCAAGGTAATATTGCAGAAAGAAGAGAGAAAAAAGAGAATCAATGGCTAGGTATCCATGAGCAATAGAGCTGCTCAAACCATACATGACAATGAGTCACGATAGTCACGCTAGATTTGCCTGATTTCATGATCATGATCATTTCCCAATCAGTCACATCAATGACGCCAATTCTGGTCAGAGGCTCACATGCTCAGATTTAAAACCACACCTAACAACAATGCCATTGACTGAGCCCTTGCCGGTGCTGATTATGTGACCCTTCTTTGTTTTACGTATTAGCGGCCTCGTGACCCACCCACAGAGCCACCACTTCTTATACACGCAAATATATGCTTACGCACTATATTATATTTAATATAAATATTAGAAATATATAACAAATGTTTATCTATGTATATGTATACATACATACAAAGGTCCTATGAGTTGAAATCAACTCATAGGACCTTATATATTGTTCCTAAAGCTTTAAATCTCTTTGGGAGAATATAGCCTTATCTTGTTTCTGAGGAGTAACTGATGGATTCGAACTGCGGACCTTGTGGTTAGCAGTCAAATATATAAACTACAGCAGTACCTGGGCTCCACATATACACATCCTTACATATACAAACATATGTACCTGTGTATTATATATGTGTGTATATGTAAATAGACATAGATGAATTTATAGTGTCATTGCTCCAAAATTTTATAAAACAGCATTTAGTTAAGCATTGTGCATGTGCATGTATATGAACAATTTAATGAGATAATTTATCTTAGTTAAGCTGTGCACACTTCTCTCACATTATCGATGCTAAACTTTTTCTCTACCATAGAGTTTTAAAACATGAGTGCAGTCTGTTGAATAAATTCCCCTAATCTACACCACTTAACACATCTATCTTTGAATACATGCTCATAAATTTTATTTAGCAAATCTATAAAATGGATATATATTTATATATGAAAAATATATCAATGTATATGAAAATATATAAGTATATCCTGTTTTTGTATTAATTCTATAGATTTCTTAAACAAATTGCTAAATTTCTTTTAATTCAAGGAAGAATGAACAATTCTAAAACTTCCACCTTTCAGAACTTCATATATTAATGCTCCATTGTCTCCATTTTGGGGTAGGTCTTTCTGTGGAATGGGTAATTCACCAACTGCTGAATATTATTTTGAAAGAAGGGGGCAGCAGAGTCGAGAATAAAATGTTAGAACTCTAGTTCTATCCAGCTGCAGCTCTTTATTTTGCAAACCACGCCGAAAAACTATCATCCACATGGCCTATGAGGACTAATTGAACAACAGGTAAACTAACTGAACAATAGGAAAACTGAGATTTCAAAACAAGGGAGCTCTTAAATATACTGTAGTGGAATGGATGGGTCACTGGAATATGTATTTTTATTTGCAAAGTGATTGTTTTGAACCATAAGCTTTGGGAATCAGTTATAAATGTATTCTATATCAAATAAAACCTGTACTTTTGTTTCATTTACAAACAGTACATTTTGTTCAAAATATTTGAAATAGTTGAATGTTATAATTAAAAGAAAAGAGAGTTTCTTTTAATGACCTTTTTATAAAACCAAGTTTGGAGGAAATGCAAACCACCAAACAAATTTAACAAAAGCAAAGCACTCTATCAAATGTTCTTTTATAGAAACAGAAGTTTAGCTATAGGTATGTCATAGGCAAAACACAGGAGAATTACCTCCTTAGATAAAGTCTCAGCTTCTTCATTGATCAGGGTTTTCTCATAAACTGCTTTTATGAGGGACAGCTCAGGAGGACAGAAACTGCATGGTCCCCTGTGAGCTCAGTCTAGCCTGACGTGGGAGGAGAAGACACAGAGGAAACCTCCCATGCCATTAAAACCAGCGCAGCATGGTCAGCCCTCAGAAAGACCAGGGACCGTCAGCGCTTCATGTACATTAAGGACTTTGGCACATGATGGCGGGGATCACAGCATGCCCAACCACTCAGAGCCGTTGCTCCTGGAACGCTTCTGCTTAAACGCTAGTGCACAGATGTTTTAGTTAAGTGTGAACCAGTTCTGAGACAATAAGAGGTTTCTTCTTGGTTTATAGTAGAGTTCATATTCTGAAAACTAGTTTTTGAACACATCTCATTCCTTTCATTTCTTAAGCTCTTATCCCTGGTTAAAAAAAATTGTCCATACTTTCTAGCATGTGGCTATATTTTAGAGGTATAATTTTATAGCTAGAACCTCAAATCCATTTTGACTCATGGTAATCCCATGTGTGTCAAAGTAGAACAAGGCTCCATTGAGTTTCCTTGACTATTTTTGGGAAAGAGGACTCTAGCCCTTTCTTCCAAGGTGCATATGGGGACACCACAACTGTCAATCTTGAGGTTAGCAGCTAAATGCTTTGACGATATGAACCACGTAGGGATTCATAGGTGGAATTTGTATATTTTTAAAGCAATTTCCATATTGTGCTGCATTATTTGTTTTTGATCATGCTTTTATGTAGCCTGTGAAACCTAACAAAATTACATTGCATTTTAGGGGCACCTTCCTGGAGTGATTGGCTATGGTGTCGTAGAACCTAAAAAGATACCTCAGGTGCTAATTAGGATTTAGTTTAAACTACAACACAAAATAGAAATGGAACACTTCTGAACCAGGAAAAATAAGTTAAAGACTCCCTGAATTAGGTAGACTTGTAAATTTTTAGAAATGAAGGCTGTGATTTGGGAGTTTAATGATATGTTACTTTTTATTTATTCCGTAGAAATCTGCTCTACAGACTCACAGTGTGTGCCCTGTTAGAGGGATTCCTTGCACTAGTCTGACTGTGGCCTAGCAATAGTGACATTAATAGGAATTGTTTAAGTAGATCCCAGTCCTATGGTAAGGCCACACACACACACATAGAGGCACATAAATATTGTCCTGCTCACAGTTGCATAGTTAAGGTCACCTTTCCACTATGCCAGTTTGCATCAATACAAATATTTAAATATTGGTCTGGGGATTAGAACTGAATACATTTTCAGAAAATCTATAAACCACATATGAATCCTTAGTATTTGCTTTGTGAGTCGAATATTTATTGTTGAAAATAAATTAATAAATTGCAAGCATCTTGCACCTGTAAGAGTACTTAGAAAAGGATTGTGTTTTATTCTGTAAATTCTTTTACAACACTGCCTTTAAGCTAAAGTCGAGGTAATTTGGGGAGTGGATTCTCAAGGTAGTTTTGAAACTCTTCACGGAAATTAATAAATGGTCATAAAATGTCAAATGGATGAGACCCATTTATACATAAGCCAAGCACTATTAGCATTAAGCATAAACATGTATATTTGAATTTATAGATCTATACTTATTGAAAGATTATATTTGTATAAGTGACAAATGCAACTCATTGTTTTGCTTCCATTTCCCCTCCATGTGAAATTTCTCTTATACCGGGGAACAATGAGTACTTATAGAGAGCATATGAAATCTTTTCAGGTATATGAAAATATGGAACTGGATGAGCTGTAAAACATTTTTCAGTGTAATAACACCAATAAGAAAATCCAATCCCTTTGTCACAATAAGCATTTTTATTGACTCTATGCTGACCATACCTACTCAATGACTCAAATGATCTTAAGTCATATTTGATGTGAAGTAAACTGCAGGCCAGTGGCATACATATTTAAGTGCTCTACCATGAATTGAAAGGTCAGGAGGACCCGATCTGTATCACTTCTCTCAACCCACACCAAAAGTCTCTTCGGAAGGCAGCCCTGATGATCTGCTTCCAAAAAGTCAAAGCCTTGACAACCCTACAGGACAGTTCTACTCGGTGGCCATGGGGCTGCCACAGGCCAGGTGTGCCTGGAGGTCAACTAACAACTGCCACCATTATTTGAACAGTCTCTCGGGCTTTTAGAAATCTTGCATTTCCATTTTTCCTGTGTTCTCCAAATGTGCCATTATGTTTTATACCACAAGGTCTTTGCATATTCTGCTCCATTTGCCTGAAATTACCTTTCCAATAGTTTATCTGTAAACAATTTCTC